GGTGACTGGGCATACGAGTGGTTTCCATGGTAAGGAATGAGGGAGGAATGAAACTCTGGAAAGGGAGTGCGAATTCACGGAAGTGAAAGCGGCAGTGTAGAGTTGCGATCGCAGTGGTCCGTCGATGGTCTTTGAGTAGTGTGTTGCGGCGGCAGAATATAAGCTTATTCGACTCGATATGTTGCTCTAGGCGCGGAGGGAATACCGCAGCGTGGAGCCAGGGAGAGGAGTTCGGAAGGGATACAGAGAAAGAGTCTTGGACTCTTAGTGAGATTCTGATCAGGGTTCTGGGTATGTATCAGTGGTTTATCCTGGAAGGATGTTGAGGATATCGTCAGTATATCAGGTTATCCACACCTGAGGGTGCTAGAGCTAGATCAGCATGTGTGTGTGATTGCGAGAGGAGAACTCGGGGGAGTTGCTCCAAAATGGAGAATGGGTCTTTGGTCGGCATGGGATGGGATAGAGTGGAATTCGGAATTCGGATCGGGACTCCGATGGTTCGTGGCTTTATAGCCATATGAGTTAAGTGAAAGATGAGGATTTGAGTAATAATGCATCATGGGTAATTCTCGGTTGTTGAAGCGTGGTTATCGGAGGGTACAGTTGGTGCCCGGTTTGAGTAGGTGGTGGGGACACCGTATGGAAAGAGAAAGTGAGCTTCTGGTTCTATGGTTGTACCTTGAGGGACTTGGTTCGGTCAAGGTCAAGTGACACGTCGTGGGAAGTATTTTGAAGATGAGATGCCGTAGGCTTCGAGGACGAAGCCTAATCTAAGTGGGGGAGAATTGTAACATCCCGGAATCACAGGAGTAGAGTTGAAGGGCTAAAGTGTAAGTTTCGGAGGGTGACTCGGCGAGTCCATGGGTAGACTCGGCGAGTCAGGTCGCGGCTGTGGTCGCGTGTCAAGTGACCTACTCGGCGAGTCCCTAGGATGGACTCGGCGAGTAGGTGCTGTATGGAGAAAACCCTAATTTTCGGGGTTGAGCCCTATATAAAGAGCATAATACCCCTCCACAGCCTCCCTTATTCCCCCTTGAGTTCCAGAAACCCTAAATTCGTGGAGAGATCATTGGTGGAGCAAATTAGAGCTTGGAGAGATGTGGTTTGAAGAGATCTTGAAGGAGAAGTGGTTTGGATCAAAGGGCTTTGCTTGGATTCGAGTTTGGCTGCTATTGAGGCATCTTTTGGAGGTAATATCTTCGTCCTTAGGCTGTGCATTCCTAGTTCCATCATTTTGGGTTGTGTGGGGTGCTTGGTTGTGTGCATTTTGATGTTGGAGGATGGATCTGAGGTTGCTACCTCAGATCTGGAGTGGAGAAGACCTTAAGAGCATTAAAGCCCCTATCTTTGTGTTGTTAATGAAGCTACCATGTCCCAAACCTTGGCTCTAAGGTGAAAATGGCTTAGATCTCGTTAGATTCACGTAAAGTTTGCCACTTTACGTGATGGATGGATTGTAGGAGGTTGGATCTATGTTTTGGATCAATTGCATGGCCTGAGATGCGTCTGTATGGATTCAGATCGGTGGTACTTGGCGAGTCACATGGGTGGACTCGACGAGTTGCTTGAAGATGGCCTGGAACTCGACGAGTTGGAAGAACAGCTCGGCAAGTAGGTTGAAGATAGCCTTGGACTCGACGAGTCCATTTAGACTCGGCGAGTCTTGTCAAGGAAGTCCCAATATTTCTGGTTGAGTCGATGAATCGGTGAGTCGAGGGATGACTCGGTGAGTTGGGCAGCTAATTGAGGGAAGTTCTGAGCATAAGGACTCGGCGAGTCATCGGGTTGACTCGGCGAGTAGGGTCAGTCAGGGGTTGACTTTGACTTGTCCAGGGTTGACTAGTTGTCTTCCAAGGGTATTTTGGTAATTAAGGGTATTTATTGGGTTATTGTTTGTTGTTCAGTGGAGGAGTTTGTGTCAGAGTTCGGAGCAGCGGGATCTTATCTTTTCAGCCGTCATTTTCGAGGTGAGTTATCCTCACTATATCAACAGGGTCTAAGGCACCAAGGCCGGCCCTTTATTGTATTGAGATTCAGTTACGTCTATCATGTTATTGTTGGTTGTGTCTGCATCCTGATAGTTAGGATGGTACATGCTAGGGGACCTTGTTAAGGTCAGTTTCTCGATATACAGAGTGATGCTATGCTAGTGATCGGTTAGGTCGGTAGCCCGGTTAGGGTAATGATATGCTATGTGATCTGCTTACTCGGTTTGTTGATTATGACTGTCATATGGATGTATATTTTGTGCACATGGTTGTTTGGACTAGAGGTGGGTTGAGGCGGGTCTTGCTTTGTGCTGTAGGCCAAGATACCCAGGGCGGACCGGTTGTTCCGAAGGCCCAGTGAGCGGTCCGGATAGGCTGTAGGCCCCACGTGGGCGGACCAGACGTGCCGAGGCTCGGAGAGTGGACCAGGCCGACTGTAGGCCCGATGCGGGCGGACCAGTCACACTGTAGACTCAGAGAGTGGACCAGATGGGTTGAAGGCCCGATGCGGGCGGACCAACCCCACTGTAGACTCGAAGGACATGACTAGACCCGGAGGATGGATCCGATGGACTGAAGGCCTGATACGGCGGACCAGTCACACGGTAGACCCGATATGCATGACTGTTCTATGTCCTGTTATGTTATGTATGTTTTATATGTTTTGACCGGAAGGTCGCGGCCTGGAAGGGCGTATACGTGGTTGGTATTTTGGGGGTATCTCACTAAGCTTTCGGGCTTACAGTTGTGGTTTAATGTTTTTCAGGTTCTTCAGGAGACTGTAGCAAGGCGAAGGCGCGATCGTACCGCTCCTCATGATTTCGTAACAACGTGATTCTGGGAATACTTAAATGACTTGTATTGAAAACCTTTTTGTAAACATTTTAATGAAAATCGGGTTGTTTTGAAAATTTTAAATTGGTTGTGTTTTTCGGATGTTACAGCACTCACACTAAAAGAGGAAAAGTGTGAAGTGTTGGAAACCAAACTTCACTACACTCAAAAGCAGGTTGATGATTTGCTAGCAGAAAAAGCATTCACGTATAGTTGCATTTCTGATGTTAACGGACTGCTATCTGATATCATTGAGACCCATGATCCTATGATTTCTATCACCGTCCGAAAGCATCTGCTTGAAAAGCTGAGACCGGTGTTCGCAATGCTGCATCGTTTGGAGGGTGTTTCGACACGGATGTCATTTCCGAAACAAGGGGGAGAAGGGAGCTCAAAAGTTCATACGGAGGATGTCAAACCCAAAGTATCAGTTAAACCTCCTGTCATCAAGTAAGATCCAAAGGACAAGGATCCGTTATTTAGCAACGAACCCATCATTGATGACAGTGAAGACGAAGAGCCTAATGAAGCTAAGCTTAAAAGGCATAAGGCTCATGAGGCAGAGATTCACGAACATGCTCGCAAGAGGCTAAGGAAAAGGAAAGAGCTGAAAAGGAAGCTCATGCCACTCTTAAGAGTAAAATGTTGTTATTTCCAAAGTGGACCCTGAAGCGCATGCAGAACCAAGCTGTGGATATGCCAAGTCAATATTGGTTGGATCCCATTGCTTCCTTTGATGTTCAGAACTCACAGGATTCACAGTTTGACCTTCCCATCACTCTGAAGGCGTTCACGTTTCATGCCTTCATCAAGGTTTCCAGTATTCCTTTCTCGGATAGCACCGGTGATCAAACATTGTTTAACTTCTACTTGAAACATATGAAGCCTCAGTTCGAGACCTGGAGTGCGAGCAAAATTGTAGTTGTGAAGGTTACTGGGCTGATCGAGACTGAAAGCTTCCCTAATGCAAAGTTTAAAGTTGCGAGAGGATCTGCACGTCAAGCTTGCAAATTTACTCTCGCAGATTTGCCATGCTTGACTATGATCAAGTCCTACATTCCTGAAGTTGGGATATTCAGATTATGATCAAGTCCTACATTCAAGAAGTTGGGACCATGGATGTGGAAATTGTCACACCCCCAAACCAGACGGCAGAAACGTCTGGGGGTGGAGGACTTCATTTGTAGTATCACAACACATGTATCATAGTAATCAAAGCACAAACAACCATTGTATTTAAAAGTATAATATTTACATGTGTTCAATCATTGTATATTGAAACCAAAATAGTTGTAAAAAAGAAGAAGATAAGACTCCTAATGGCTCCATCTTCTCAAAAAGCTCGGGGAGTACCTGTTATTATTTCCCTGATAATACAAATAATTTGAAAAGAGAGTATCAACAATAAGTTGAGTGAGTACATAAGTCTTTATGTTTGAATGGGTGTCTTTGTATTTTGAATTTGAAAACACTTCTAGAAAATCCCATATTTTTGGTGGTATGTGAAAAGTAGTTTTATTCCTATTAAACCGTCTTATTTGGAAACCAATGTATTTGTAAAACTTGTATTTGAGAGTGTGCCTGGCTTCACGAGCTGTTATTGAAAACTATAGTATACCATTGTACATTTGCATTTTGTAAACTGGTACTTTGAAGATATACATACGTTTAATTTTTTATACACTAACGTGTTGTTAATATATTTTTAATGAGTAATTATAACCATACTAAGACATGAACGCCTGAAACAAACGCCTGATGAGCGCTTAATCTGTTGATAACAATTGCCACTCATTGGCGTGTATGCCTGACTGTAGCTAGCAGCCTGAGTGCGGGGTTGTCAATCCCGATATAGATCTACACACAACTTGTTTCCATCCCCAGACTGGAGATTCTGGTTATAATGTCAAGGCTTTACTTTGGTTGTCTAAAATGAATTAAACAACCTGAATTGAATGTCTCATAAAAAGCATATAAACGTTACATGTATATTAGTTATGAAAACCCAATCATTCTGAAATAAATGATTGACAGTATGTTCTTGACTTAGTATCTCGAACATGTATTTGATAAGTGTAAACCCTTGATTTGTTTTGAATTAAAACCATTGTTGCATGTAAAACAATGTATTCATCTGAATTATTGCTCTATGTATCATAAATTTTACCTATTATAATTTATACATACTTTAGGAACTGGTAAATAACTATTTTTGCATGTAATCCTTTGCTCAACATATTACAAAGGGTAATTAAACTGATGAAATAACTTTTATATTTATATACATATACAATTTTATATTTAGGTAAAATTTAAACGACCTTCGGACAAATAACCGGTACTATAAGTCCACATCCAAACAAGGAAAAGGACCTAGAATGAATTATCAGTCCTAAGCCTTTTAAATCTTATTTATATTAAATTATATATACAAATATGTATATTTGGGAAAAATATAAGTTTATAAAAGAGTTCAATATTTGAAGTATTTTTGATGCTTTTAAAATCATTTTATCGTGATTTGAAATCATTTATTTCTAACACAAAGTTGTTGTGTTATACTTGTATTTCCCCCCTTAAAACAGTAGAAATTATGAAAATACGGGGGTAAGAACTCACTTGATAGGTGGTAATTCGGACAGAGTTTCGTTTCACGAAAAGGAGTTTATTTGTCAAGAAACCGGCTCAAATCGGGCAGAATTTTGACAGGAGAAATGATGAATTCTCGAGAATTTCGGGGCTTCACTGCTTACTTCGGGCTCGAGTCTTGATATCGGGGCTTTAGGAGCTGTATATGAGTTTAAGGGAGTGGAAAATGTGAAAGAGGGTGAAATTTAGGGTAAAAAGGTGGAATTAATCGGAAGCCCTCGCATGTTATATATAGCCCGAAGGATCGGACCTGAAGCTATGCGAGGGTGACACGTGTTTGACAGATGGCGAGGCGAGGGCAGTTCTTCGGACCGGAGGCTCGCAGCTGGCTGGCTCGTATTGGACTAACCCTTGGTCCAATGGAAAGACGACACCTGCGGAGGGGGCTGGTCCGAGGCGTGCGAGGGGTGTGCGAGGAGCGTGCGAGGGTGAGGTCCGGTGTGTCTCATGCGAGGCTGTCCGGTTCTTACTAGACCTCGGACTTGGTCGAATCAGGAGGTGACACACGAGACATCGGTCCACTCAACAGCCGACACGTGGAGGCCTCGCATGCGAGGGTGACGTGGCAGTTACTATTCATGCAAATATTCTCGGTTTTTGGTATTTTTCTTTATTTTTTTGCCAAAACTTGTAAAATTCATAACTATTACATACGAACTCCGTTTTTGACATTCTTTATATGCACGTGCAGGTAAAATTATACTCTACAACTTTTGTTTAGACTTCGTCATCTAATTTTGAATTTATTTATAATATTATTATTTTAAACAGACCGGGACGTGAATCCATTATAAATACATAACTTCTTCATACGACGTCTGTTTTTATCAGTCTTTTTACCGTTGTACTACTAATGATGAGATCTTCAATTATCGTTTAGGTTGTGTCGGCTAAAAACCACTCGATCTTTATTTTGAGTTTTTAGCTGTACAATGTTATACTGAAACTTAGAAAAATCATAACTTTCTCATACGATGTCAGATTTTGGCGTTCTTTTTATGAAAGTTCTCGGTTTAACATAAACTATAACTTTCATTTAGATTGTTAAGGATAGAAAGCGTTTTATCAAAAATTCAGTTTTTACACTGAATAGTGTTTTGTCGGTTTTGTCGCGGATTTTCGATTGGTCATAACTTCTTCGTTATAACTCGGATTTTAGTGTTCTTTATATTTTTGGAAAACTTGTTACAATCTCTATCACTTGGTTCAACTCAATTGAGATTATTTAATAATTTATTTTTGAGGGTCAATTATGTAAATATACATAGTATGCCAAAATTTCTCTTTATTTAATTAAAAAAAAGTACAATTTGACCTACACTATTACATAAGTTTGAAATAACGGTTTGTTACATTATCCCCCCGAAAAAAATGCTACGGTTCTAAGACAAAAACCAAGTGTTGTTCCAAAAGAAGCTCCGAAAGACTTCCAGAAGCTCAAGCTCGGAAAGATTTACAAGGAAGGATGGTTTGTTATTTACACTGCGAGAGATCGTCCAAGTGCAGATCGACGCAAGTTATACTTTCATGTTGACGACAAGCACCTGTTTGTTACTTCTTGTTTGGAGTTCATTCTGGAACTTGTTGCGAAGTATAAGGGCAACAACAAAGATGATGTGAAGTGCTTCACTGATGTGATCACTTGGTATATTCATGTTCGTAAGTTGCTGCTGACTTTTATTCCTAAAGTCTATAAAGTGTAGAAGTGAATCTTGAATTAACATGGCCATGGTTTCACTTAAATCAAAGGGGGAGATTGTTGAAGATATTGTGTTGCATTATTGGGCCAATATTATTTAGTATATTTTGTATTCATGGTTTGGGCCTGTCCAACCGTGTTTTTCTTTTTAGGGTTTAGTATATAAGGTGCATGCATGCATCCTTATCATTAACGTTTTTCTTAATTATCTCATTGATTGTTCTATAAACCCTAGCGCACCTCTAGCAAGGAAGTTCTTAATCGATCTCTTCTAAGGTGTGACTATATTTTAATCATTCGACATACAGATTGATGCATTGATTGTTCTTGTGTTTATTGTTCTTATTTATTTACCTATTAAATATCTAATCGATCTAAAGAGTTTTAACTCTTCACTAAGTTGATGTGTTCAATTAATTTGTATGTGAAACAAATCGAAAATCGGGAAACAAACTGCTGGACAATAAGTACGACAATGTTCCATGTGTTTGTCTGGCTGATATCTTGAGAACAGAGGATTATATGATCACTTATTATGGCGCTTCATAGTTCAATAGAGTTTTAAGAGCTACGATTGCTGGTTAGTTCCTGATACAATTTGACCTACACTATTACATTGGTTCGAAATAATAGTTTGTTACATTATCCCCCCGTTAGAGAGAATTTCGTCCCGAAATTTACTTTACAGATAGACTAGGGAAAAAGATATGGGTATTTTTGTTGCATTTGATCCTCCCACTCCCATGTGAATTCAGGTCCCTTCTTTGCATTCCAGCGAACCTTTACTATCGGGATGCGGCTTTGTTTGGTTTTCTTAACTTCCCTATCTAGTATCTCTACGGGTTCCTCCACAAAATTGTGGCTCTCATTTAACTTGATTTCCTCAAGTGGTTTCACAAGTGTGTCGTCGGAAAGACACTTTTTCAAGTTTGAAACGTGGAAGGTAGGATGAATATTACTTAGTTCTTGGGGTAATCGAAGTTTGTAAGCTACAGGGCCGATTCGGGCAAGAATCTCGAATGGTCCTATATACCTTGGGTTCAGTTTGTCACGCTTTCCAAAGCGTATCATGCCTTTCCAGGGTGAGACTTTTAGCAAAACTCGGTCGCCAACTTGGAATTCCAAGGGTTTTCTCCTTTTGTCTGCGTAGCTTTTATGTCTATCTCTGGAAGCTTTAAGTCGTTCCCGAATTTGTACGATCTTTTCGGTAGTTTCTCGAATAATTTCTAGACCAGTGAGAGAACTGTCAGGAGTTTGACCTCTAGCTAGCTGCATGTCACCCACTTCAGCCCATCACAGAGGGGATCTGCACTTGCAGCCATAGAGGGCATCGAATGGAGTAGCTTTTATGCTAGTGTGATAAATGTTGTTATAAGAGAACTCAACAAGGGGTAAATGAATATCCCATGCCTTTCCAAAGTCTATCACGCAAGCTCGTAACATATCTTCTAACGTTTGAATTGTCCTCTCACTTTGTCCATCGGTTTGCAGATGGTAGGCTGTACTCATGTCTAGCCTAGTTCCCAGAGAGTTTTGTAAAGGCTGCCAAAATCGAGAGGTCAATCTACTATCTCGGTCCGAAATAATAGATATTGGTACACCATGTAGTCTAACAATCTCCTTGAGGTCTGATCTGGTTAGCTTTTCCATCTTGTCAGTCTCTTTGATTGGTAAGAAGTGTGCGGATTTGGTTAATCTATCGACGATTACCCAAATAGTATCATAACCACTTGAAGTCTTGGGTAACTTGGTTATGAAATCCATTGTAATCCGCTCCTACTTCCATTCTGGGATTTCAGGTTGTTGTAATAAGTCTGAAGGTTTTTGGTACTCTACCTTAATTTTGGGCAAGTAAGGCACTTGCCCACAAAGGTAGCGATTTCGGCCTTCATGTTAGGCCACCAATATAGCTTCTTAAGGTCCAGATACATCTTGTCTGAACCTGGGTGGATGGAGTATCGGGTTTTGTGTGCTTCATTCATAACCACATCTCTGTAACCACCGAACTTTGGTGTCCAGATCCGGTTTATGAAATAATAGACTCCATCATCCTTGACTTCGAAGTTCTTATCCATTCCTCTCAGAGTTTCACCTGCTACGTTTTCGGGTTTCAAGGCATCAAGTTGAGCTTCCTTGATCTGCGTGGACAGATGCGAATGGATTGTCATGGTCAATGACTTTACCCGGCGTCCCGAGTATTCTTTTCTACTAAGGGCGTCAGCTACTACGTTTGCTTTATCAGGGTGATAAAGAATTTCACACTCGTAATCGTGCAGTAGCTCCACCCATCGTCGTTGTCTCATATTAAGATCTTTCTAATCGAAGATGTGTTGGAGACTTTTATGGTTCGTGAATATTGTGCATTTCATGCCATATAAGTAATGTCTCCAGATCTTTAGAGCAAACACCACTTCTCCTAGTTCAAGGTCATGTGTTGTATAATTGACTTCATGTGTCTTTAGCTGTCTTGAGGCATAGGATATAACCTTTCCTCTTTGCATAAGAACACATCCAAGCACTTGATTAGAAGCATCACAGTACACTATGAAATCCTCTGTCCCTTCAGGGAGAGACAGGATCGGTGCACTATACAAGGCTCGCTTCAGCATTTGAAACGTTGTTTCTTGCTTTTCTCCCCAGCTAAAAGTTACACCCTTTTGGGTCAGAGTAGTAAGAGGCTTAGCTATTCGAGAGAAATTTTGAATGAATATGCGATAATAGCCAGCAAGAGCTAAGAATTGATGGATTTATGTAGGTGTTTTAGGTGTTGACCAGTTTTCAATTGCCTTTATTTTGGAAGGGTCGACGTGTATTCCTTCTGAACTGACCACGTGACCTAGGAAATCTACCTTCCTGATCCAAAATTCACACTTTGAAAACTTCGCATAAAGCTTCTCCGATCTAAGAGTCTGTAATATTTGACGAAGATGTTGGCCATGTTCCTCTTTGCTCTTTGAGTAGATAAGGATATCGTTAATGAAAACTATAACGAATTTTTCCAAGAATGGACGACACACTGTGTTCATTAGGTCCATGAACACTGCAGTTGCATTCGTCAATACGAATGGAATCACTATAAACTTGTAATGACCACAACGAGTTCTGAACGCGGTTTTGAGAACGTCTTCCTCCAAAATTCGTAACTTGTGATACCCGGATCTTAAGTCTATCTTTGAGAAGTAGTTCGCCCCTTGAAGTTGGTCGAACAGATCGTCAATGCAAGGCAGAGGGTATCGATTCTTGATGGTAAGTTTATTCAGCTCGCGGTAGTCTATACACATGCGGAATGATCCATCCTTCTTCTTTACGAACAAAACTGGTGCTCCCCAAGGTGAGAAGCTTGGTCTTATGAAACCTTTGCTTAGGAGTTCGTTAAGTTGGCTGGATAATTCCTGCATTTCAGAAGGTGCAAGACGATAGGGGGATTTGGCTACAGGGTAGCTCCAGGGATTAAGTCGATTCGGAATTCGACTTGTCGCTCGGGAGGCACCCCTGGAAGATCATTAGGAAAGTTGCAGACCTCAGGAATGCTTGCGATGTCTTTCACTTCTTGCTTTTTGTCTACCACATGAGCTAGGAATGCACAATACTCCTTGCGAAGTTATTTCTGTGCCTTGATGCATGAAATGATCTGAAGGTTTGTTCCGGGTTTGTCGCCATAGATAATAAGAGTTTCGTTAGTTGGCAAGTTCAAATGAATAGCTCTTTCATAGCATAGGATGCCGGCATGGTTGGGGCACAACCAATCCATACCTATTATGATGTCAAAAGTTTTGATAGAGACCGACATAAGGTCTATTGGGAAAGACAAGTCATTTAAGGTAAGGGTACATCCTATTTATATATCATTGGTGGATTCAGATTTCCCGTTAGCCATTTCTACTGTGAAGGTTTTATTTAGTGGTTGGGAGTTCTAATTTAGTAGATGTTTAAAGTTATGGCTCACGAAGCTCCTCTCGGCACCACAATCAAAAAGAATGCATGCATAAGTATTGTTGAGAAGGAACGTACCCGTGACCACAGTAGGGTTTGCCACCGCTTCCTCGTGACCTAGTGCTATAATTCTCCCAACCCCACCGTCATTTCCAGCTTTTGGACAATCTTTCTTGAAATGCCCCACATCACCGCATTGGTAGCATGCTCGACTTACTCCAGCGACAGGTACTTGGTTAAGGGATTGAGGTGGTGTTCTACAGAATCGGGCAGTATGCCCTTTCCTGTTGCAGTTACGGCACTGCATTTCAGGGAAATTTTCGGTGTGGTGAAAATTGCACTTGTTGCATTTAGGGAGGCTACCGGAATAGGGATTAGTTGGTGCTGAGTAGTTAGGGGCAACAGCAGGTGTAGTAGTAGGTATGGTAGCAGGCATAGTAGTATCATGGACTGCCACTATTTGTTGCTTCTTTGAAGGTTCTAGAGGAGATTTTCCCTTCCTTTTGTTCCAACCCTTCTTCTTTCTATTATTGTTGTTCTCCCTAGGTTGTTCTGGGGCAGTAACCACAGAGTTTTGATGGTTTCCGTGGTCAATAAGTGACTGTGCCAGTTCCTTGGCACTGTCAAAAGTGACAGGTTTAGATGCAATGACACTTGCTTGTATCTGGGGCGACAGTCCCCAAATATACCTTTCAATCTTTTTGGTCTCTGGAGCAACCATCTCCGGACACAGAATCGCCAAGTCACAGAATCGATTCGTGTAAGTCGTTATGTCGGCACCGGCCATAGTAATACCCCAGAGTTCTTGTTCCAATTTCTGAATTTCCCCTCGTGGGCAGTATTCCCGCATCAACATGGTTTTTAGGTTCTCCCAGCTTATAGTATTAGCCACTAACAAAGTTAGTGACTTAACATGGCCATTCCACCATGTTAGGGCCCTATCTAAGAAAGTAAAGGCAACAAATTTAACTTTGCTACCCTCTGGACAGGAGCAGATTTCAAAGACTGCTTCTATCTTCTCAATCCACTGCCTTAAAACCATCACTCCTCCAGTTCCATTAAAGGTCCTGGGTTTGGCATCGAGAAGTCTTTATAAGTGCATTTTCTCAAGTGCTCATGACCCTCGGCAAGGTTAGAAGGACGTGGACCAGCTCCCGACCCATTAGCACCAGGAGTATTGATATGAGATAAGGAAGCCGCAACAGCTGCCGTGACTACCGCTTGGAACATGGCAGCATCGAATTGAGGGGGTGGTGGTGGAGGTGGCGTCGGTGCTTCCGTTTCATAGTTACATCTTGGATTCCTACGAGGAGGCATCTTTTTCTATAAAAGTCAATAGATTAAAAGATAGTGAGATATCAAGAATGAATATGAATTTGATATCTCTGAACTTAAACACTTAATTCAACAAGAATCTTGTAAAGAATTGAAAATGGATGTCCATTGCAAGTACAACTTGCAACTGGATAGATTAAAATGAAGTGTTTATTTTTCAAAGAGTATGAAAGTACATGTCGATTGTATTGGTATATTAAGTATATGTAATTTGGATACCTAACCCTAAAGTAGGTCTTTAATAAACCACAATATTGCAAAAGTATCGACATCAAACCGGCCTACCGAAAATAAAAATTTTCGCGGTCGTATTTGAAAAGTATGAAAAATAACACTAGAACATATCCAAAATCCCAAAACTTTGGAATGGAATGTTTATGTAACTTGTAATAACTCTTGTTGAAGTAAAGTGATTATTATTTTATTGATACTTGATTTATACATCTCCTGAAAGTAGTCTATACATTCAGTATATTAAACTAGAAAGTAGTGTAACACTACTTGCGGCGGTTGCTACGACGGTTACTGGGTTCCGCTTCGTCTTGCGATTTCCAGCGCCTTTCTTGGGCAGCTTGATGCTCCCTCAGTCCTCTAATCTCTGATTGGGTAGCATTAAGTTGCCTTTGAAGGGCTTCAGTATGGTGTTGGGTATCATCTTGCATCTCGTCAAGACGAAGGATATCAACAGCGTTAGCCTGCACAGCCGCATTCACTTCTAGGATGCAATTGATTGACATCCTTGATTGATCGAATTGTTGGGCAATTCGTTTCACTATATCTGGAAGAGATCTGTTGGCTGTTCCTCCTTCTAAGACGTTATAGAAACCCCGTGCCATTCCGTAGGGAGGGCGATGGTCGTCTTATCGACTCCAATGGTTTATGTATTGGCCCCACTCGGGTATGGGTATTGCTTCCTCTTATCTCGGGGGATGTATCCCCGGGTTGCAGACTTGTGCCTCTATATCTGTACCGCTTGATTCATTGTCCTCAAATGGCTCTTCATCTGAGTCTTCTTCTGGATCCTCCTCCGGATCTTCCACTATCCATCCTTGATTGCCATGATTTGGAAAATAAGGGTCCTCTGGTAGATGATGTCCTGCCATTGTGTCTGTACGAGAATAAGGTTATGAGAAATGCCTGAAAAGAAAACTAAAGCATATCGATGTTTATAATATTCTTATAGTATTTTATGTTCTGTTCTTAGATTTTCTTCGGCAGTTGGTAAGTTTTAGACATGTCACAACACTACTATTACTCCCAAACACATGTTGGTAATGTCTGAAATCAATATAGTTGATCAGGCTATATTAATTCTAGATATGATTACATAAATGCCCGGGTTAACTATAATGTTCAACATCCAAATACTTTTAAGTTCTTATGACTATGTACTTGTAGGTATGAGGGTTAGTATACTTCTTGTAAAAATACTTAGAATTCTTAAAAGTATACTTGTAGTCAGAGCTCTCAGCCCCAATGTATTTATAGTTTGTATATCTTTTATGGATTGATATACTGAGTTCACTATAAACAATGCTCTAATACCAATCTGTCACACCCCCAAACCAGACGGCGGAAATGTCCGGGGCTGGAGGACTTCATTTGTAGTATCACAACACATGTATCATAGTAATCAAAGCGCAAACAACCATTGTATTTAAAAGTATAATATTTACATGTGTTCAATCATTATATATTGAAACCAAAATAGTTGTACAAAAGAAGAAGATAAGACTCCTAATGGCTCCATCTTCTCAAAAAGCTCGGGGAGTACCTGTTATTATTTCCCTGATAATACAAATAATTTGAAAAGAGAGTATCAACAATAAGTTGAGTGCGTACATAAGTCTTTATGTTTGAATAGGTGTCTTTGTATTTTGAATATGAAAACACTTCTAGAAAATCCCATATTTTATGTGGTATGTGAAAAGTAGTTTTATTCCTATAAAACCCTCTTATTTGTACACCAATGTATTTGTAAAACTTGTATTTGAGAGTGTGCCTGGCTTCACGAGCTGTTATTGAAAACTATAGTATACCATTGTACTTTGCATTTTGTAAACTGCTACTTTGAAGATATACTTACGTTTAATTGTTTATACACTAACGTGTTATTAATTTCTTTTTAATGAGTTATTGTAACCATACTAAGACATGAACGCTTGAAACAAACGCCTGATGAGCGCTTAAACTGTTGATAACAATTGCCACTCATTGGCGTGTATGCCTGACTGTAGCTAGCAGCCTGAGTGCGGGGTTGTCAATCCTGATATAGATCTACACACAACTTGTTTCGATCCCCGGACTGGAGATTTTGGTTATAATGTCAGGGCTTTACTTTGGTTGTCTAAAATGAATTAAACAACCTAAATTGAATATCTCATTAAAAGCATATAAACGTTACATGTATATTAGTTATGCAAACCCAATCATTCTGAAATATATGATTGACAGTATGTTATTGACTTAGTATCTCGAACATGTATTTGATAAGTGTAAACCCTTGATTTGTTTTGAATTAAAACCCTTGTTGCATGTAAAACAGTGTATTCATATGAATTATTGCTCTATGTATCATAAATTATACCTATTATAATTTATACGTACTTTAGGAACTGGTAAATAACTATTTTTGCATGTAATCCTTTGCTCAACATATTACAAAGGGTAATTAAAATGATGAAATAACTTTTATATTTATATACATATACAATTTTATATTTAGGTAAAATTTAAACGACCTTCGGACAAATAACCGGTACTATAAGTCCACATCCAAACAAGGAAAAGGACCTAGAATGAATTATCAGTCCTAAGCCTTTTAAATCTTATTTATATTAAATTATATATACAAATATGTATATTTGGAAAAAATATAAGTTTATAAAAGAGTTCAATATTTGAAGTATTTTTGATGCTTTTAAAATCATTTTATCGTGATTTGAAATCATTTATTTATAACACAAAGTTGTTGTGTTATACTTGTATTTTCCCCCTTAAAACAGTAGAAATTGTGAAAATACGGGGGTATGAACTCACTTGATAGGTGGTAATTCGGACAGAGTTTCGTTTCACGAAAAGGAGTTTATTTGTCGAGAAACCGGCTCAAATCGGGCAGAGTTTTGACAGGAGAGAGGATGAATTCTCGAGAATTTCGGGACTTCACGGCTTACTTTGGGCTCTTGTCTTGATACCGGGACTTTAGGGGTTGTATATGAGCTTAAGGTAGTGGAAAATGTGAAAGAGGGTGAAATTTAGGGTAAAAAAAGTGAAATTATTCGGAAGCCCTCGCATGCTATATATAGCCCGAAGGCTCGGACCTAATGCTATGCGAAGGTGACACGCATTTGAAAGATGGCGAGGCGAGGGCAGTTCTTCGGACCGGAGGCTCGCTGCTGGCTGGCTCGGATTGGACTAACCCTCGGTCCAATGGAAAGACGACACGTGCGAAGGGGGCTGGTCTGAGGCGTGCGAGGGGTGTGCGAGGAGCGTGCGAGGGTGAGGTCCGGTGTGTCTCATGCGAGGCTGTCCGGTTCTTACTGGACCTCGGACTTGGTCGAATCAGGAGGTGACACGTGAGACATCGGTCCACTTAGCAGCCGACACGTGGAGGCCTCGCATGCGAGGGTGACGTCGCAGTTACTGTTCATGCGAATATTCCCGGTTTTTGGTATTTTTCTTTTTTTTTTTGCCAAAACTTTTAAAATTCATAACTTTTTGCATACGAACTCTATTTTTGACATTCTTTATATGCACGCGTAGGTAAAATTATACTCTACGACTTTCGTTTAGACTTCGTCGGCTAATTTTGACTTTATTTTTAATATTATTATTTTAAATAGACCGGGACGTGAATCCGTAATAAATTCATAACTTCTTCATACGACGTCCGTTTTTGTCTATCTTTTTACTGTTATAATACTAATGACGAGACCTTCAGTTCTTGTTTAGGTTGTGTCGGCTAAAAACCACTCGATCTTTATTTCGAGTTTTAGCTGTACACTGTTATACTGAAACTTAGAAAAATCATAAGTTCCTCATACGAAGTCAGATTTTGGCGTTCTTTTTATGAAAGTTCTCGGTTTAACATAAACTATAACTTTCATTTAGATTGTTAAGGCTAGAAAGCCTTTTATCAAAAATTCAGTTTTTACACTGAACAGTGTTTTGCCCGTTTTGTCGCGGATTTTTGACTGGTCATAACTTCTTCGTTATAACTCGGATTTTAGTGTTCTTTATATTTTTGGAAAACTTGTTACAATCTCTATCACTTGGTTTAATCCAATTGAGATTATTTAATAATTTATTTTTGAGGGTCGATTATGTAAATATACATAGTATGCCAAATTTCTCTTTATTTAATTAAAAAAAAGTACAATTTGACCTACACTATTACATAACTTTGAAATAACGGTTTGTTACATTATCCCCCCGAAAAAAATGCTACGGTTCTAAGACAAAAACCAAGTGTTGTTCCAAAAGAAGGTCCGAAAGACTTCTAGAAGCTCAAGCTCGGAAAGATTTACAAGGAAGGATGGTTTGTTATTTACACTGCGAGAGATCGTCCAAGTGCAGATCGACGCAAGTTATACTTTCATGTTGACGACAAGCACCTGTTTGTTACTTCTTGTTTGGAGTTCATTCTGGAACTTGTTGCGAAGTATAAGGGCAACAACAAAGATGATGTGAAGTGCTTCACTGATGTGATCACTTGGTATATTCATGTTCGTAAGTTGCTGCTGAGTTTTATTCCTAAAGTCTATGAAGTGAAGAAGTGAATCTTGAATTAACATGGCCATGGTTTCACTTAAAGCAAAGGGGGAGATTGTTGAAGATATTGTGTTGCATTATTGGGCCAATGTTATTTAGTATATTTTGTATTCATGGTTTGGGCCAGTCCAACCGTGTTTTTCTTTCTAGGGTTTAGTATATAAGGTGCATGCATGCATCCTTATCATTAACGTTTTTCTTAATTATCTCATTGATTGTTCTATAAACCCTAGCGCACCTCTACAAAGGAAGTTCTTAATCGATCTCTTCTAAGGTGTGACTATATTTTAATCATTCGACATACGGATGGATTCATTGATTGTTCTTGTGTTTATTGTTCTTATTTATTTACTTGTTAAAGATCTAATCGATCTAAAGAGTTTTAACTCTTCACTAAGTTGATGTGTTCAATTAATTTGTATGTCAAACAAATCTAAAATCGGGAAACAAACTGTGGGACAATAAGTATGACAATGTTCCATGTGTTTTTCTGGCTGATATCTTGAGAACAGAGGATTATATGATCACTTATTATGGCGCTTCATAGTTCAATAGAGTTTTAAGAGCTACGATTGCTGGTTAGTTCCTGAGGTACAATTTGACCTACACTATTACATTGGTTCGAAATAACAGTTTGTTACATTATCCCCCCGTTAGAGAGAATTTCGTCCCGAAATTTACTTTACAGATAGACTAGGGAAAAAGATGTGGGTATTTTTGTTGCATTTGATCCTCCCACTCCCATGTGAATTCAGGTCCCCTCTTTGCATTCCAGCGAACCTTCACTATCGGGATGCGACTTTGTTTGGTTTTCTTAACCTCCCTATCTAGTATCTCTACGGGTTCTTCCACAAAATTGAGGCTCTCGTTTAACTTGATTACCTCGAGTGGTATCACAAGAGTGTCGTCGGAAAGACACTTTTTCAAGTTCGAAACGTGGAAGGTAGGATGAATGTTACTTAGTTCTTGGGGTAATCGAAGTTTGTAAGCTACAGGGCCGATTCGGGCAAGAATCTCGAATGGTCCTATATACCTTGGGTTCAGTTTGTCATGCTTTCCAAAGCGTATCATGCCTTTCCAGGGTGAGACTTTTAGCAAAACTCGATCGCCAACTTGGAATTCCAAGGGTTTCCTCCTTTTGCCTGCGTAGCTTTTCTGTCTATCTCTGGAAGCTTTAAGTCGTTCCCGAATTTTTACGATCTTTTCGGTAGTTTCTCGAATATTTTCTGGACCAGTGAGAGCACTGTCAGGAGTTTGACCTCTAGCTAGCTGCGTGTCACCCACTTCAGCCCAGCACAGAGGGAATCTACACTTGCAGCCATAGAGGGCTTCGAATGGAGCAGCTTTTATGCTAGTGTGATAAATGTTGTTATAAGAGAACTCAACAAGAGGTAAATGAATATCCCATGCCTTTCCAAAGTCTATCACGCAAGCTCGTAACATATCTTCTAACGTTTGAATTGTCCTCTCACTTTATCCATCGGTTTGCGGATGGTAGGCTGTACTCATGTCTAGCCTAGTTCCCAGAGAGTTTTGTAAAGACTACCAAAATCGAGAGGTGAATCTACTATCTCGGTCTGAAATAATAGATATTGGTACACCATGTAGTCTAACAATCTCCTTGAGGTCTGTTTTGGTTAGCTTTTCCATATTGTCAGTCTCTTTGATTGGTAAGAAGTGTGCGGATTTGGTTAATCTATCGACGATTACCCAAATAGTAACATAACCACTTGAAGTCTTGGGTAACTTGGTTATGAAATCCATTGTAATCCGCTCCTACTTCCATTCTGGGATTTCAGGTTGTTGTAATAAGTCTGAAGGTTTTTGGTACTCTACCTTAATTTTGGGCAAGTAAGGCACTTGCCCACAAAGGTAGCGATTTCGGCCTTCATGTTAGGCCACCAATATAGCTTCTTAAGGTCTAGATACATCTTGTCTGAACCTGGGTGGATGGAGTATCGGGTTTTGTGTGCTTCATTCATAACCACATCTCTGTAACCACCGAACTTTGGTGTCCAGATCCGGTTTATGAAATAATAGACTCCATCATCCATGACTTCGAAGTTCTTATCCATTCCTCTCAGAGTTTCACCTGCTACGTTTTCAGGTTTCAAGGCTTCAAGTTGAGCTTCCTTGATCTGCGTGGACAGATGCGAATGGATTGTCATGGTTAATGACTTTACCCGGCGTCCCGAGTATTCTTTTCTACTAAGGGCGTCAGCTACTACGTTTGCTTTATCAGGGTGATAAAGAATTTCACACTCGTAATCGTGCAGTAGCTCTACCCATCGTAGTTGTCTCATATTAAGCTCTTTCTAATCGAAGATGTGTTGGAGACTTTTATGGTCCGTGAATATTGTGCATTTCGTGCCATATAAGTAATGTCTCCAGATCTTTAGAGCAAACACCACTGCTCCTAGTTCAAGGTCATGTGTTGTATAATTGACTTCATGTGTCTTTAGCTGTCTTGAGGCATAGGATATAACCTTTACTCTTTGCATAAGAACACATCCAAGCCCTTGATTCGAAACATCACAGTACACTACGAAATCCTCTGTCCCTTCAGGAAGAGACAGGATCGGTGCACTACATAAGGGTCGCTTCAGCATTTGAAACGCTGTTCCTTGCTTTTCTCCCCAGCTAAAAGTTACACCCTTTTGGGTCAGAGTAGTAAGAGGCTTAGCTATTCGAGAGAAATTTTGAATGAATCTGCGATAATAGCCAGCAAGACCTAAGAATTGACGGATTTTTGTAGGTGTTTTAGGTGTTGACCAATTTTTCAATTGCCTTTATTTTGGAAGGTTCGACGTGTATTCCTTCTGAACTAACCACATGACCTAGGAAATCTACCTTCCTGATCCAAAATTCACACTTTGAAAACTTCACATAGAGCTTCTCTAATCTAAGAGTTTGTAATATTTGACGAAGATGTTGGCCATGTTGCTCTTTGCTCTTTGAGTAGATAAGGATATCGTTAATGAAGACTATAACAAATTTTTCCAAGAATGGACGACACACTGTGTTCATTAGGTCCATGAACACTGCAGTTGCATTCGTCAATACGAATGGAATCACTATAAACTTGTAATGACCACAACGAGTTCTGAACGCGGTTTTGAGAACGTCTTCCTCCAAAATTCGTAACTTGTGATACCCGGATCTTAAGTCTATCTTTGAGAAGTAGTTCGCCCCTTGAAGTTGGTCGAACAGATCGTCAATGCAGGCAGAGGGTATCGATTCTTGATGGTAAGTTTATTCAGCTCGCGGTAGTCTATACACATGCGGAATGATCCATCCTTCTTCTTTACGAACAAAACCGGTGCTCCCTAATGTGATAAGCTTGGTCTTATGAAACCTTTGCTTAGGAGTTCGTTAAGTTGGCTGGATAATTCCTGCATTTCAGAAGGTGCAAGAAGATAGGGGGATTTGGCTACAGGGTAGCTCCAGGGATTAAGTCGATTCGGAATTCGACTTGTCGCTCGGGAGGCACCCCTGGAAGATCATCAGGAAAGTTGTAGACCTCAGGAATGCTTGTGATGTCTTTCACTTCTTGCTTTTTGTCTACCACATGAGCTAGGAATGCACAATACTCCTTGCGAAGGTATTTCTGTGCCTTGATGCATGAAATGATCTGAAGATTCGTTCCGGGTTTGTCGCCATAGATAATAAGAGTTTCGTTAGTTGGCAAGTTCAAATGAATAGCTCTTTCATAGCATAGGATGCCGGCATGGTTGGGGCACAACCAATCCATACCTATTATGATGTCAAAACTTTTGATAGAGACCGGCATAAGGTCTATTGGGAAAGACAAGTCATTTAACGTAAGGGTACATCCTATTTATATATCATTGGTGGATTCAGATTTCCCGTTAGCCATTTCTACTGTGAAGGTTTTATTTAGTGGTTGGGAGTTCTAATTTAGTAGATGTTTAAAGTTATGGCTCACGAAGCTCCTCTCGGCACCACAATCAAAAAGAATGCATGCATAAGTATTGTTGAGAAGGAACGTACCCGTGACCACAGTAGGGTTTGCCACCACTTCCTCGTGACCTAGTGCTATAATTATCCCAACCCCACCGTCATTTCCAGCTTTTGGACAATCTTTCTTGAAATGCCCCACATCACCGCATTGGTAGCATGCTCGACTTACTCCAGCGGCAGGTACTTGATTAAGGGGTTGAGGTGGTGTTCTACAGAATCGGGCAGTATGCCCTTTCCTGTTGCAGTTATGGCACTGCATTTCAGGGAAATTTTCGGTGTGGTGAAAATTGCACTTGTTGCATTTAGGGAGGCTACCGGCATAGGGCTTAGTTGGTGCTGAGTAGTTAGGGGCAACAACAGGTGCAGTAGTAGGTATGGTAGCAGGCATAGTAGTATCATGGACTGCCACTATTTGTTGCTTCTTTGAAGGTTCTAGAGGAGATTTTCCCTTCCTTTTGTTCCAACCCTTCTTCTTTCTATTATTGTTGTTCTCCCTAGGTTGTTCTGGGGCAGTAACCACAAAGTTTTGATGGTTTCCGTGGTCAATAAGTGACTGTGCCAGTTCCTTGGCACTGTCAAAAGTGACAGGTTTAGATGCAATGACACTTGCTTGTATCTGGGGCGACAGTCCCCAAATATACCTTTCAATCTTTTTGGTCTCTGGAGCAACCATTTCCGGACACAGAATCGCCAAGTCACAGAATCGATTCGTGTAAGTCGTTATGTCAGCACCGGCCATAGTAATACCCCAGAGTTCTTGTTCCAATTTCTGAATTTCCCCTCATGGGCAGTATTCCCGCATCAACATGGTTTTTAGGTTCTCCCAGCTTATAGTATTAGCCACTACCAAAGTTAGTGACTTAACATGGCCATTCCACCATGTTAGGGCCCTATCTAAGAAAGTAAAGGCAACAAATTTAACTTTGCTACCCTCTGGATAGGAGCAGATTTCAAAGACTGCTTCTATCTTCTCAATCCACTGCCTTAAAACCATCACTCCTCCAGTTCCATTAAAAGTCCTGGGTTT